GTCTGACCTTCCCAACCCCGGGAGCTGCCTCTGGGCTCCTTGCTGCTTTGGAAAAAAAAGCCACGTAAGATCAAACATGGTGATGAAGGGATCAGACGTGATGCAGGGCACCGTTTATTAACTAAATGGGCTGGGACTGGGGCCAAATTGATTCAAGTTCTAATTGTTTAACTTTTTCCATGTATCATCTTTCAGGTTTCCTACTTAGCCAGGGATTATTTCCACCGCCACACCCCCTTTCTTCTTGCTGCTTTTGTTTGGAGTTGTTTAACTTTGCTTTTGTTACTGGGGACTTTAAAAAAAAAAAATTTCAGCTGGCCCATTTGTATTGGGATAAAAGTCCTTGTGCCACAGGAGGGGAGGTAGAGGGAACTCTTTGGAAAAGTTCCCTCTCCTCCTTTTCTCCTGTGTGAGTGAGGCTATTTTAGTTACTTCAGGGGAAAAAAGTCTTCCCCGCATGTATAATAAAACAGACAAAACTGCTCCTGACTCTGAGGGATCTGTAAATTATTTTGCTGATTTCTGCACAGAAATCACAGGCTGCCGGGAGACACCCACAGAGCTCCCCCAGCCCAGGAGCAGCTTCTCATGCCGGGACATTTAAGTATTTTGCATTTTTATGTCGTCCTACAGTAGTTCCTCCATGGGGAGGGCCTGGGCTGCAGCCAGCGTGGCTGCTGTGGGCAGCGATTGCACGGGGTCAGGCTTTCAGCTTTATTAATGAAAACAACTAATATTTCTATTTTTTTTTTTTCTGAAGAAACACCTTAGTTCTTCACTTCCTAACCCCAGGGGTGCTGGGAGGCATGCGGTGGATGTCTGTCCTCCTGGAGCTGCTTGACTTGGAGCAGACCCAAGCTGCTGGCACCACGAGATAGGGGTGCTGGGGCTCACCCAAGGGACACCGAGCACTGTCACTGGAAAAGCCACTGGAGGGGACCTCGGGACCCCCCTGGTCCCAGCTCCTGTCCCCAGGCAGCACCAGCCACCAACGTCCCCCCTGGCGATGTCAGCTCCATCCCTGGGATGGAGACTCCCGGCTCCTCAGGCACCATCCCAGCATCCTTCCAAACATACGGGGGGTGTATGGGGGGTGCATGATTTGCAGAGGAATGTATGGGGTGCGTGGGGTACACAGTGGTAAATGGGGGTGCCTGGGGATGCTGGAGGTGCACGGGGCTATAGGGGATGTGTAGAGGTGGCTGGGGATGGATGCAGGGGGGCGCTGGGGTGCACAGGGATACACGAAGTGCATAGGGGACGATGGGGCACAGGGGGTGTCTGGGGGGCAGGCAGAGCCCTAGCCCAGACCAGCCCCGCCGGGCGCTGCGCCTGTCTCCTGCTCCATCTAGCGATGGAAACGGAAATATCCAGCGGTTTCGGGCAGGACGGGACAGGAGCCCGCGCTGTGAGGATTCCCAGCGCTGTGGGGTGGTTCCCGGGTGGGAACATCCGAATCCCCCAGCAGGGCAGCGCTTAGAGAAACC